CTGTCACAGTACTGTGTCTAAGGGAAAGAACTTTCGCTTTTTATCCTTTTTTTATTTGCTAGTCAGAGTTAGTTAGCAGTTAAATAACTGAAGTATCCATTTTGAAGCTCTCATATAGATGAACTCATTAATACTTCGATTCTAATGCAAAATAAAAGCTCTTTATTACATGTAGGATACACGAGTTAAAAAGCAACCTACATTCTCTCTATTCTCAACCATTCAGCTTAGCTCTTATGTGTTCTGTTATCTTAAACGTTATAGCTATCCCTGAAAAGGGCTTTTAAAGCTCTATATTTGCTCAGATATGTTAAATACTTAATTTGAATACTAATAGCGTTACTTCAATAAACTGCTTCCATTTGTACAGCCCATCAAGATTATTTCTCATCGACTTACATCGGATCGTCTAATTTTAAAGCCTGTCTGGTTATAATAAGTCAAATATAGATTAATAGTTTGCTCTCAATTCAATTAGTAACTAAATAGCTGTAATGGCCAGGTTTGTTAAGAATGGTTTCGTTTTGCTGAGCCTGAATTACGTAATATCGATACGTATTATGTCTTATTTCTGGCTTGATACGAAACTGACCATTCTTTCGCTAAATATAACCATGATAAAAAACGTATATAAAATTCTTCATCGAATATCAGTTAGGCACAACTACAACTTAAAGTGTCTTTTTATACCTTGCATAATGGCACGGTGATAGTTATATATCTATCAAATTATGCATGTGCAATATACGGTGAATAGTTAGTCTACAGGAGAATGAAAATATTAAAATAACATGAATATTTTAATATGAATTACTATCCTCATATTTTTAACATTCTTTATTTATTTGTAAAGTTATAGAGACCATGTCTTTTATGTTATAGCACATAAACTATATGAAAATTGACCGCTTTATTCTCCCATACTAATATAAATAGTGTAATGGAGTGGTTCATCTGCCGAGATTACACCTTGCACTAGTACAGTTCGAGTCCAGTTGAAGGCGGTGATAAAACTAAGGCGAAGTTGAAGCTACTTATAACCCTGGATGAGAACACCCTTTGGAAAGAAAGGCCTGTGTGATTCAATGAGAACGTATGTTCCACTCATTCAATTGTAAGAAAGTATTAACGCTTATCCATCATTAGCTTAACGAAATATGGTGAGTGCGTTTTATTTATTTGAAGGCATCACTTTTAACCTAGTGTATACTTCTTCTTATAGTAAAATCTTTGCAAAAAGATTCAAATAATTTTTGGGTCCTTGGTTGACGAAAGTCACCTTGTTCTGTGAGTACATTAATTTGCAAGGCTTAAGGTAGTATGTAAATATTTAAGCTATGCACGCAAAAAATAACATAGTATTATGGCATGAATTTCTATCTATAATGATAATTGGTTATAGTGAACTTGTTTAATGGTCTCACTGCTGTGGAGCGAAAACTATAGGATTGTGCGAAGAAATAATCCGCTTACTGTCCTGCGACCCTGATAAACCTCTGTCTATATTTTGGCTAATCTATGACGAACATAATTAGAGCAAGGATACATACTTTACTAAAAAAAACAAAGGTATACTTTACACCTAGCATTACGAACTAAATGAAAGGTCTCATGATTTGGGTGGCGACCTCGAAGTTGCTCTATATGCTCACAGATAAATGAAGCTACTTTGCAATCCAAAATTAAATTAGTTGGCATTTGTTTCCTTATAAAAAGAAACATGCGTACGATCATCTACTATTGACTTATGTTTGGTTGTGTGCAATTGTCTATCGTGCGCATGTAATCGTCATGCTATGAGAGGCATGACAGTTCTAGTCTCCATTTTATGCTCAGTTGCTCTGATTAATCCCCCTCTTTTACCCTTTACTTTAATGCATCCAAAAGGCAAAAATCTTTCATTGAATTTTTTACACTTTTTCTTGATATTTAGGACGTTAGCCGTTTTGTTAATTTACACAAACTCCCGAATCTTACGCTTGATATACCATCGCTGTAATCCGCAAATAGTTTTGGTTTGATTAGTGTATTAAGTAGCCTGTGTTAGCCATCTGTTCAGCGAGTTCAGTATTTTTAACACATATACCTCTACAGGTGGTAATGCGTTTCCGTAGTTTCTTCTAGGTGTGTCAGTAAGTCTCTCCAACATATAGATTAGCAATTGAGCGCACAAACTTATAGCCAACTGATCTGGAAAGAGGGTCCAAAAATTCTTGAATTGAAGGATTTACTAAGGAAGTGTAAATTTATATTTTACTTTATTTTTATATTACGCTTGTTCAGTAGATCACCAAACTTTTTCTTAACCTGACAATAAATCAAAATCAGGAACTGAGTAAAACGATTAAGCTCTCTACCCCATTATAGATAGCAATCTAGCCTCATCTTGTTACTGACAATTGAAATATAATTATCAGCTAATCATAAACGGTAAAATTATTGAAACAGTATATGCATTTACCGATATCCTGGTACCTGTAGTTTAAGCTTCCTAGCACAAGACCTCTTATTAACAATGATTTCATATATCCTATAGTTATTCTATAGTTATAACTTAATGAGGAATCCCGTGTGTGTGGCTTTTGTATATACGCTTCTACCTAACTTACTAACTTCTTTATTCATTAATACATCCATAACAGGCAATTTATTTTCACTTTATAATAACCTGGCCAACTTGATATTTGCATTTACGCAATTTATTAGTTTAACAAATTTCTCAAAACTACCATTTTCATATTGCTAAACAGCAAAGTAATCGTTCATATATCGAATTTATAAGATTGGAATTAGGAATACATATTTAAAGACAGAAACTTCTTATTAGGTCGTGTAGTTATTAGCTCAACTAGAGGCTAAGCAAGATTCTATAGCTAAGCCCCGTATTTGCTCATACAACTTACCATTAAAGACAAAATATTTATTATGCACAATCAAATAAATCAATTTAATGAGTGAATCTTTGCCGAAATTTTATTTGTCATGATCTCAGCATGCTGATCTAGAGTTAATTTTAAGGCCTTCTTTGTATTATTTATTTAAATGTTTGTGTGAACAGTCAATAAATTAAAATTTACCTGCAAATCTCCTTTTTCTATCGTCTGATCATCCACTAATATTATAAAGTCGTAATAGTCTCAAATAAAAAATTATCAAGTTTCGGTGATTTTATTTACCTGATTGTAAATAATTCGTGATGCTTTATGCATCAAGCTATTTCTAGTATTTACAATACCTCTAAGTGGGGTACCTGGAATTGATTTTTGTATACAAAGTACGTGCTATACTTTAAAATATCTTGCATAATAATCATTAAGTATTCATGTTCTAGGTTTATATAAAAAATAATTCAATTAGCTTACGAAAAGAAAAGGAGAATAGCTATAATTTAGGATAATTACTGGTCACACCCAATCTGTGCGTAAATATAATGATATAAAAACTTTTCGTTAAAAAACAATATCAAAGATCAAAGTTATTTTATGGGATAAATATATGCTGTTTATTGTTGTTTACTGCTATACTTAATTACCCCTAAACAAAATAAAGTAAAAATATATCATATAACTAAAAATTATCAGTGTTTGTTTAAATATTTAATAATGCTTTGCAGTAAATACCCCTAAGGCGGCTTAATCACGCGTGATATCTTCCGCTCAGTTTGTGTTTTTCTTGCTTTTTTTCTTCAATAGTTATTTTTGCACATTTGTAGTTGCTTGTACATTTTTTAATTGTATTTTTATTGTTAGTTTGGGCATTATTGTTTGGTTTGCCTGTTTAAATATATCTAGAATGGGGTTATTTATTTCCATTTACATTTTTTTCAATGATTAAGCTAACTTTATTCTTGATTGCATCTGTATTTTTGTCCTAAATATATATTTTATTTGGCTTCTTTAATAGTTATTGACAAATATACTATAATATATATTGGTCAATTATTTCAATATCACTAATCCTCCATTTGCTACCTCAAGCCTCGATTCTTTTTTCAGATGCCAGCGCCAAAACGCTTAAGGGAGCTTGTTAGGGACATTCGCTCTGCGCGAACGGCTGCTGAAGAACGGGCTATTGTTAACAGAGAATGTGCTCAAATTAGAGACAGTTTTCGTGAAGAAAATAATGCTTATAGATGTCGAAATATTGCTAAGCTTCTTTATATTCATATGCTTGGATATCCCGCACATTTCGGTCAAGTAAGCTTGTTATCACTTAAAAATCCTCAAACTGATTTAAATTATTATTCCACCATTTCAACCGTTGATTTCTTATGAGATCGTGTTCACAAAGAAAGCTTAATTATGCATATATTTAAAAAAAAAATTTTTGGTTCTTTGAAACTTTAGATTTTTTTATTAGAATGCCTATATTTTTGACGCATTTGTATCAGTTCTTCGATCAGTAATTACTTTTTCCTTATATATGCTATCAATTCTAATGTTCTGTACTCATCAAATTTGCTCGTATTCTAATTTATTTGACGGAATAATTTTTGTAAATTAATTTACGTTGCTATGTCCTGGAATGAGTATTTTTTGTTTTTTAAGTCACTTTGCATCCATATGCATGACTGATTGTCTAAACTGTTAGAATTTGGGCTCTTTAATGCACTATCAAAAACACAAAGAAATAAATGATTATAGGATATTTTTAATGCTTACTTACTTTTCAGTATAATGCCTATAGTCAAACTTAAAAAATACAGTGTAGCGTTTTCATATTAGTATATACCCAGACTCGGGATTAATTTGTTTTATTTTGCTTATATTTTATGAACTAGGTAAAATCACAATAATTTTTATCGAATAATTGCTCAAGATTTTGAGTAATTTTTTGTCCTTTGTGCTTTTATGTTCTTTTAGCTTGAATGCTTGAAACTCATTGCTTCATCTCGATTCACCGACAAACGTGTTGGATACTTAGGTGCAATGCTTCTGCTAGATGAAAAAACAGATGTTCATCTACTGGTAACCAATTCATTGAAAAAGTAATTTTGTAGAATATAATTATTCCACTCAT